ACAGCTTATAGTTAACTATTCATGTGATATCCCAACATTGATTATTATTTGGATTTTATCATCAAATCAATTTGAAGAAGATGAAGCACAGTCTTCAATATTTACATATAGTATCTTAACAGAACAATAGAATGTATCTAATCAAATCTATACTGACTACTTTTTTACCTAAATTATTAAATAGCAAAGTTTTTAATGATTTGGTGGAAAATATAAATGTAGTGTAACAAAAGCATCTCGCTAGATTTTCATATTCTTAAATGAATTCATGCTTTTCTCATGCAACGAAACTGATATTTGTGAAATTGCTGAAAAAATTGTTTTTTTGAAAGACAAAACTTTGCATATCTATTATAAATGCGAATGTAAGGCTATTCACAGCATTTTATAAACTTATAAAGCTTTTCTGTTCTCTATTTTACTACATCATGTACATTTTTACCGAAATTATATTACATTTTTTCCCAAAAACATTGCAGAAGATTCCAATCAAATCAATATCAGCAAAAAAGAATAATATCATTTAAAAATAAAGTTTTTACATGGATATGAAAACCGAACAAAAAAGAAGACGCGTTATACTAAAAGAAGAATATGAAATAACTCTACATGATTTGTATAAATCAGTATATGCTGTAATATTATCAATGTTGAAATTAGTGTTAAGAAATACTGTTTTACCAAAGCGTTTGATTGAGTGTCCATTAGGAATTAATATTGATTCAAGTGTTGTAGCATTTTGAAAAGACCTTTCCTCAATTATATTAATAGTGCTTTGGAAAACAATAGATTCAATTGTTTCATGATAAAAAAATGCATGAAACTGGACTTTTTTGAGAGATCTAGGGGCTACATAAACCTTCAAACCATTTTTCCGCGGTACATGAATAAGGGTATCAATATTTTTATTGTAAAGGATATAATCAACTGATGCATAACTAGGATTTAAAGGATTTACTACAATTTTCTCTAATTTGTGTGCATAATTGAAAGGATTCCCTGTTGATATTTGAATTGTTGAGGCAGGAATATCAATTTCACGAACAGGAATATTATAAAAAGCGTCATCATCGATTTGTATAAGTGTGTCTGGTAATTTTATTTGTGTAATACTTGAATATGATAAAGAATATAAAAGTAAACGCTCACATGAGGAATCAATGATGAGAGACGAGTATTTAGCATCAATACTATTGTTGTAGGAAAGTGAGCCGCTTGGACAATGGACATATGCCTCTATTAGAAAACTTTTTTTAGTTTTGAATACTTTTTTGAGAGTGAATTGAATTTTAATGCAAATAGAATACAAAACTCAACCATTTTATAAATCTTAAGAATATATTTGTCGACCAAATAATTCCTATCGTTATTATATGAACGAAGTTTTTCCACAATAAGCACAGGCAATGATCCTAACTCATCTTTATCAGCTCCAAATTGATCTGAAAGATCATCAACGTAAGGATTTCCACCAATTGTTCCGATCAATTCAATCTTTTCGAATTAATTAACAATTTAGAAAATATTATCCATGATATTAGCTCTGCAAAGAAATTTTAAAAAGTTTTAAATGCATTTCATGTTATGATGGAAATAAAATTTCAATAAAATTTCTGTTGCAACAATTTTGTCAATTTTCCAAAAAAAAGATGGTAAGTTATTTCATACGGGAAATGCCACGAGTTTATTGTCAATTACATGCATATAGCGTTTGCAATCATCCGTGTTCTTATATTTTCATTGTTGTCCAATTACTTATTCAAATTCCATATTTTTATTTTGCTTTTTCGTTGATCAGAAGACTTAAATTTCAACTCAGAAATCGCTTTATGCCTGGTATATGCTATGTGCTCACATATGCTGTTCACAACTTCAGTTCTTGGATATATTATTATGTTTTATGTTATTTTTATCGTGAAAAGGATAAGAATTTTTGTTTTAGATTAAGCAGAGTGTGGGATGATTTTACAATGCTAGCAGATGTTATGTTCATGGAACAAATTGCAATTGTATTAATTTGCTTTAATATCAAAATTGGAAAATATTTGAAGTACTTTAACTATTTTCTTTATGTTTTAATGATATTTAGGATTGTATGCAAATTCTTTTTTACCTTATACTCCAAAGTTGATCCATATACAATTCCATTCATTAATGAGATTGTTTACAACAAAACATATATAGTCTATTCAACAATCTATAACACAATATATATTATAATGCTGATTCTTATGAATATATGCTTTGTATTATCAAGTATCAAAGATTACATTCCGAAAAAATATCATTTAAGAATTAACATCGCATTATTCATGGAAATTCTTGGTAGTGTCGGTTTAGAAATAGCGCAACGCGTGAGATATAGTGTTTTGGTTATGAAATATGAATTTATAGACATAGTGAAATTTAACTACATCAGAGTTTTCATTCATTTATACGTAATGTACTGTATGAATCTTCCATATTTGATTATAATTTGGACCCTATCATCAACTGAATATGTTGAGGATCAAGAGGCCACCGATGTTCTTTTTAAGGAAATTGCAGCTTTAGATTAGAATTTTATTCTATATTTATCGTTTAGTATGTTGCTTGATTGTATTTAAACTTTCATTTTTTAGAAGAATACCATTTCCAATATTTTTTAAAGCTTGTATAAAGCGGGTGCAACCTGAGAATAATATTTTCTTACTCCAGGAGATATAATTCGAGAAAATGTCACTTCAGAAATAAGAGAAACACATTATCCAATTCGAACCAAAAATATGTAATCATAATTATATTCTGAATTAGATTTAACACCTTGATTTTTTTCATTCTATATTTCATCGCGATTATATCCACTGTTCAATAATTCTGAAGAAAAATCATGGATAATTGATCTTTCAATGCAATGCATAGTATGCCGGACTATTATGGAATTGATACAACATGAAATTAAAGAATCATTGTTATTAATTTCATTATTAGTTTGCAAATATTTGATATTTATTAAACATAGATGTAAAGAGTTTTAAATTTATTTTGCGGAATGATATGATAGCGATAAAATTTCCGTTGCAACGATTATGTCAAATTTGACATAAAAAAATTATGGAAAACAAGGTTAGTAAATTCATTCTATATATGCCACAGTCCTACTGTCAATTACATGCATATAGCGTTTGCAATCATCCGTGTTCTTATATTTTCATTGTTGTCCAATTAATTTTACAACTTCCATTTTTTTATTATGCTTTTTCGTTGATCAGAAGACTTAAATTTCAACTAAGAAATCGCTTTATGCCTGATATATGTTATGTGCTCACATATGCTGTTCACAACTTCAGTTCTTGGATATATTATTATGTTTTATGTTATTTTTATCGTGAAAAGGATAAGAATTTTTGTTTTAGATTAAGCAGAGTGTGGGATGATTTTACAATGCTAGCAGATGTTATGTTCATGGAACAAATTGCAATTGTATTAATTTGTTTAATATCAAAATTGGAAAATATTTGAAGTATTTTAACTATTTTCTTTATGTTTTAATGATATTTAGGATTATATGCAAATTCTTTTTTACCTTATACTCCAAAGTTGATCCATACACAATTCCATTCATTAATGAAGTTGTTTACAAAAACATATATAGTCTATTCAATAATCTATGGAACATTGAATCTGTTATTACTTAGTCTTTTGAATATATGCTTTGTCATATCAAAAATCAAAGATTTCATACCCCAAAAATATCATTTAAGAATTTACATTGCGTTATTCATGCAGATTCTTGGTAATATTGGTGCTGAAATAGCACAGCGCACAAGATATAGTCTTGCTGTTACAAAATTAGAATTTTATGACTTAAATAAATTTAATTACATCAGAGTTTTCATTAATTTATACATTATGTACTGCATGAGCATACCATACTTAGTAATAATGTGGACGCTGTCATCAACTGAGTATGTTGAAGAATCAGAAACTGCAGATGTGCTTTTTAGCGGAATTGCAACTCGGGATTAGAATTTTATTCTATATTTATCTTTAGTATTTTTTATTGTTGTATTTAAACTCCAATATTTAAGATAGAAAACAATTATATCAAAATAATCTTTGAGATAAAGCATATTATGATATATATGTAATGTGAGTATCATATTATAATAAGTGATACAGTGGTGCAATTCTGTTTCGGATTTATTGCTTTCAAAATAGAAATTTTAAAAATTATTTGATCAATTGCATTTATTTATTGCTTAAGTAATGTCAATGAAAAGTTTTTCATAAACTTTGAATACTCTCTTGAATGAAACATGATTTTTATCTGATATTTCCGACGATAAAAAAAATAAACAGAAAGAAATTAACTAATATTATTGCATTATGCAATTAAAAGCTGCAAAGTAGTCATTGAATTATAGAATTCATACAGAAAAAAAATTGGAAATATTTTATACATAAACATAATTTATTTTAGGGACAAATGATAAGAATCATTGGAGTTCTGATGCTCGCAAGGCTGCACCAATTGCTCCTGCATATCTATGATTCTCTGGGAAAATTAATGAGATTTCTTTGTTAAACAAAGAAGCTGACTTATATAATGAATCAGGGATACTTCCCTCCATTGAGAGGAAACCACCGACAAAAACAAGAGATGTTACTTTCTCTGCTCTAGCAACAGTTGCAGCTCCACCTGCAATAGAATAACAAATTGCAGAAAGGAGTGATGCAGCTATATCTTCTTTAGGAGCAGTTTTATGTTCTATTGATGCTTTGGCAAAAGAAGAAGCGCAAACATCAGATAATAAAGTATTTCCGTAATTTTGACCATAAATGTCTGAGATAAGTAAGTCCAATGTAGATGTTTTGCCAATATTAGCTAATCTAAGTATTTCATCGAAGTTATTTACTTGAATCAGTAAATTTGCTAAGCCAAGTAAGGTTCCACCTCCTAGCGGTGAGCCACCTACATGTTTCACCTTATTATCAATCGATAGGGCAGAGTATGAAACGCCTGTTCCCATTGAAATAATGATACAAGGAATTAAATCTTCTATTTGAGGGCCCAAAATTTTAACATTGCTTCGGTCTTTAAGTAAATGAGCAGCTCCAAAAGCTTGTGTTCCTAGTTCATCGAGTTTGACAGGTTTTGGTTTAATTTGCTCGAAAAATTCACGGAATTTAACGGATCCACCACCAGTTATGCATATTTTCTCGATTTTCTCATGAATTTGTTCGATTTTTAATTCGCCGTTTTCATCTGTTTGAAAGAAATTTTTGATTTCTTCAATTAATGTTGGGATGCAGAATAGTTGCTTATTTCCATCTTTTCCAATAAAGCACATTTTTGTAAATGAACCTCCAAGATCTACTCCAAGCATGAATACAAATTCTGGAGAACTTTTAATGTAAAGTTCACAATTCCGATATCCTCAAAATCCGTAGTCACTTTTTTTGATTTGATTCTCTTCGAATTTTTTGCTCGAAAAATAAAACATCATTAAACTCGCTTTTTGAGATCAAATAAGGCATTTTGCAGTGAATAAAATGGATAATCCTTTAAAGTGAGAAATTGAGATTACCGTCGACGTTATAACTGAGTTAAACGAACATAATGCAGATAAAGCTGATGTATAACACTTTATCACTGGTTTTCCATCTTTTTTGAACTTAATTGAATGAAATCTAATCATTCATTCTTTGAATCATTGATTTATCACTAAGGTAAGATTTTCTGTATTGATGCATCTATTAACTAATATACTATTAATGGAAAAATATATAAAGATTCTCATGATTTCTTTATTCAAAATGAATTGATGATTTCTTGGTGCAAAACAAAACAATAGATCTGTAGATCCCGAAACACAATAACAGAACAAATAATACAATACCTAACACAATCTCAGTAATTTGAACAGGAGTTAATGCATCGGGCCTATATTTGCCATCTTGTTCAACAACAAATAAATTAATCGTCATAGGATGGATATATTCTTGTCTTTCAGTTGAAGTAGGTGATATTTGTAAATAAAACTTCTTTGTTGAAGGAATCATGTTAATAAGCCACCTATTTCCTGTGTTTCTGATCCATTCTCTATTTAGAATGGCCTTGCTATCAGGAGATATAATAGTTGCAGCGATTGTTGTAGAAAATCCATCATAAATGATTCTATCAAGATGCAGAACATATTCAATATATATGTCAGTATCTGTTTTGTATACTGTTCCATTTGGTGGATTGGATAAGCCAACATCCAAAGTATTACTATAGTCAACTGAAACATTTGATGAAAAGATGCACTTAGGATCCATGGAATCAATAATAAGTATCATATCAAGTTTATCCCTGAAAACACTAGGAGTATATTCTATTTTTAACAAATCGAATTTCTCATTAAAACTAGCATTAATAAGAATCCTATCATTTCCATCCGGTGAAGCAAGCCAAACTGTGTAGTATGCGTCTTTTACATCTTCACTTACATTTACTTTGACCCCAGCAGCTGTTGCTGCAAATAGAGGAATTTTATTTTTTTTGAATGTAATTTTGGAGACATTTGCTTCGAATGGTGAATGACAATCATTCCTTTGATTTATCAAAGAGATATTTGGAGCTATTTTGTTATAGAAGACCTTAAGACCTAAGCTCTCTATTGTTCCATGATATGCATCGTCTGCGACTCTAAATGAAACTGTCCATTTTCCTATTGGATTTTCGCCTAAGAATTTATATCCCATTAATTCAACTGAGTTTATTGTTGAAGTTAAGTCTGCCTCTGTTAATATTTTCATCTCACACCTTGTTCCATTTGGACTAATAATGTGTGGATTTAACGACCCAAATGATAATTTCTTCGATTTGAAGAATAAACTGACGCATAAAACAGATTTCGCACTTCTTTCTGTGAAATCAAAAGTAACGTTGTGCTCACGGTCTTCAATAATTAAATTTAAAGTTTTTTCAACTTTGTATTCATAAAATTTCCCAGTTGATGTCCAATTTAATGCGATATCAACAGCTCTACCCAGATTCAACCTTCCAAAGCCCGATCTTCTATTATAATTAAGTTGTATTCCATTTTTGTCCCAAATTATCGTGTTTGGATTTACTTTATCTGCAGAAAACGCAGTAATATAAAACAGATCAGATAATGTTAGGTTTGGATTTGCTTCTAATAAAACAGCAAGTCCACCTGCGAATATCGCTGCACTTGCGTTAGTCGATGTGAAGTTCTTATTTGTTGAATTAGTAGATTTTGGCGAAGCTGTAAAAATAGGAGCATTTCCAGCAGCAGGAGCAACCATAAAGACACTTGCACCTTCAGCAGAACGATATAAAGAAAGACCTCTGTTAGTAACACCGCTAATTGTAAAAACTAGTGGCCAACCTGAAGGTGGACTCATAATAGGATCAGATGCGCAAGTTCCTGATGGAACCACTATTGGATGTGGCCAATTTCCTTCTTGTGGATGATATAAATAATCATCTGCAATTTCCTTAGGAATTACTTCTGGTTGAACGTATTGAACGTATCCATTCGGTTTCTCAATGTAAAGATATTGAAGGATTGATATATTCCACTTCAAACTCTGATGGCACATCACAGTTTGAAGGTGTTCTGCTTGCATGGAATAGTTTGTGAAAAAATAAGATGCAACATTTGCTCCTGGAGCAACACCTTCAAATTCTGTACCTCTTTTCCCTGCTGCTAGAGCTAATGATGCAGTTGCGATGTTATGTGATGAATTCGTTGTCAACATGATTTCATTTGTATAAATATTAATAAACTGATCTTTGATTGCTCTATCTTTGTATGCAACATGATCGAAAAGCGCTCCATCAGACATTACGGCAATTGTGATTCCTTTCCCTGTGTATTTATCGTAATATGCATGCCCAGACCAGTTGATATCTTCACCATCTAAGCCACCGTATTCATCATTTCCCGAATTTTTAAGCCACCACGCTACAAATAAATAAAACATCTTAAAATTGCTCACGCGATAATCAAAATTGCAAACTCCGCTCTCAAATCATTTCTAACATAATCTTGTTAGAAAGACATTGCTTGTTTTAAATCACTGCTTTTGATAATTTTATATCAATTTGATAAAATTAAATAAATTGAAAGCTAAATAATTGATATTTCAAATGGATTCAAATAAGTAATGCCGAGTTTGTTTAGTAATATAGACATTAGGGGTAATATCAAATGCTTAACTAATTAATTTTTGTTGTTATAAAACGAATTATTCTGAAATAATTTGTGAGAGAAAATTCTAGGGTTGTCAGATTCCGGACGATAGGTGTCTTGGAAGATTTGCCTGGTGTCATCATAGTGTCTTTAAATCAAAAATTTTAGTTTGGAGTTAGTTATACTGATTTTTCAGTAAAAAACATTTCTAAAACAAGAAAATAAAACGATAAAATATTTATATTTTATATAAGGATCTTATATATTTAAAATAAATATCATTTTATTTTTTTTCATTGGTGTCTGTCAAACCATAATACACTATTCAAAAATTCAATGTGTCTTGCGGTTTCAAAAGACACCTTGAAATTGAACGATAGCACAGACACTATTGAATTTTACCCATTTTATTTAGTTTTTACCCTTTTTATTTTTACGAATTAATGACTGAAACAGCCGTTTTGCTATGACCTCAATCACTTTTATTTATTATTTTAAATATTATTTAATTTTATTATTTGAATAGGCCAACTTATATTTGAGAAGTGTTAAAAAAAAAAAAAAAAAAAGGTAGTGGGGCTTCCAGGCACTTCGTGCCCTCTAGCCCCGAAGATGTTTAGTATAAATGAAGTTTTTATTCGGAAAATTGTTAGTCTTCTGGTGTGAATTCGGAGGACTCTTCTTCTTCCTCCATTGCTTCTGGGAAGAAGCCTTCTTCTGGGTCGAAAACATTATATAATGTGTCGCTTTTCACAAATTATATATGTTTTCATGTTTTGTCACTTTTCTGTCACTTTTCAGGAAAAAACATTTTTATTATATATATAAAATGAATTTTACAAAACCACCGTTACCCTTCTTTGGAAATAAGAGTAGATGTAAAGATATTCTATTGAGAGAACTTAAGAAACTACCGAATGGTCTAACATTTGTAGACTTGTTCGGTGGAAGTTTCTATATATCTCATTTGTGCCATACAATATTTCCTGACTCAAAGATTATATGCAATGACTTCGACAACTATATGAACCGTCTCAAACATATACCAGACACAAACAAAATATTGAAAGAGTTAAAAGAAAAGATACCTATAGGTAAGATGGAACGTATACCATTAGATAAGAAAAATACTGTCAGAGAGGTTTTGAAAAAGGCAGAGTATATTGACTGGGATAGTATATCTGCTAGACTATTATATAGTGGTGCTATAAGAGTTCATGACATTGAAACACTTATGTCAAAAGTTTTATATCTTAACTATACAAATGTTTTCAAAGAGAACATAGAAAAATATATTGAGGGTATAGAGTTTGTGAGATGTCATTGGACAGAGTTGTATGAAAAATATAAAGACAAGGAAAATGTTTTCTTTATAGTGGACCCGCCGTTCTATAACACATGGGATTTTCAATACCAAGTAGACTGGACTTTGAGAGACTCTTTAGAAACTTTAGACGTTTTACATAACCATCCATGCTTTTACTTTACATCCGATAAAAGTGGTTTGGAAAGTGTCATGAGATGGTTAGAGGACATACATGACTATGAGTTTAGATATGACAAGATAGAATATGAGAGAGGTCCTATAAACTGGAGAAAGTGTCATAACAAAGAAATTTTATTGTAAGTAAATGTGGTTTGAAATAGGACTACTTGTTTTAGGTTTTTTCCATTGTGTCATTTACTTATTTGACGTGGCAGAAAGATATAGAGAATATGAAGATGAACCAATGCCTGCAAATGTTCAGTATATGTACTCGTAAGAGATATTTTTATCTAATATTAAATGGACGCACAGAACTTAGCGAATGCACAGCAACCTGGACAACCAAACCCAGAGAATATTCCAAATGAAGTTAGAATACAAACTGCAATGGCAAACTATGGTCAAGTGCCAACAGATGTACAAATGCAAACTGCCATGTCAAATGACGCTGCGTTAGGTTTGCCACCATGGTATGCAAATATGAGATGGAAAGAGTTTTATACAAACCCTGAAGTGGGATATAAACAACTTTATGCAGATGACGCGAACACAGGAGTTGACCCAGAATATGTTTTCTACCAGAGGAGAAAGAATGTATGAGCTCCAGTTAAAGAATGCTATGGAACTCAGAAGGAAACGTAAGAGACTAGGCGGACATTAGATTTTTACATATAGTAAAATGGGTTTCTTCAGTAAGATAGGAAACTTCTTTCGAAATGTTGGAAGAGGTATATGGAATGGAATAAAAACCGTAGGAAGAGGAATTTGGAACGGAGTCAAAAATATTGGTAAAAGAGTAGGTCAGTTTGTTGGTATTATACCTAAAGACCCTGAACCAGAAGAACAAGCTCCTGTTATACAACAGCCTGAACCTGCACCACAGTCTAGTTGGCAACCAAATCCAACACCTCAACCGTATTAAAAAATTATATTTTTACCGTTCGATAGTAGTTGTATATGAAACTAAGTTCTAAGTAAAACGCATGGTATAATGGAATTATTCTTTTTCTTCCATCTGTAGTAAACCATACTTGAAAGTCTGAAATACTTCCACTTGGTGGTTCGTATAACTTTGTAGGTTTTTCGTAAAAGTCATTTGCCAAGCATAAGAAAGAGTTTTGAGCGCCAGAAAATGAAGCATGAACAATAATAGCAGCTGGGTCGAAAACATCTTTAAATAAATATGGTTCATCTCTTGCATATCGACTGTAAATATTTGCTAAAGGAAGTTCGACTTTCTGATTTAACATTCTTTGCAAATAATACCATGACATTGCAGTGAATTCTGTATATATTTGTTCGTCTTTCTTTGGATTGTCTTCGTAGATTTGAAATGACACTTGTGAATTTTGTTTGTCATATACAATTCTCACATAAAGTGTGCTCTCGGTATTTGCATATTCATCAGCATATTTTGCATAACATGAATTTATTTTATCTTCTATATTTTTTAACGCAGTCTGTAGAGAAGATGAAAGGTCAACTTGTATTAGCTCAATTTCTTCCCACATTTTTCGTTTCCCTTCAGATATATAATCTATATGAAACCTTACAATAAATGGAAAACTTTTATCTTCTACAGACACAAACTTCATTCTACGAAAGCCAATAGCTTTTGTGACAGATGGGTCTCTTACCATCTTAATGGGTAGTCAAAACGATAGCCTTCATGCTTTACGGTCTCTGTCTCAAACTTTTGACCGACATTAGTAAAAAGTTCATCTAATGGTTTAGTTGTAGCAACTCTTGAATTTTCTTTTTCTATTGGAAGCATATTTTATCTAGAATAAAAATGTCAAATGAAACAGCGTCTATGAGAGAAATACAACACAACCGACAACTCATTATGCAAGCTCTAAATAAGAACACAACAAACTTTTCAAACTATTCTAAGATATCTGAGTCATTGAAAGAAGGAAACTTAAAACTGACATTAAACCCAATGACAGATGAGTTTCTGTTTCAAGACAATAAGAACCATACTGTTGTATAAATCCAACAAAAGAACTTTAAACGAGAAACCTATATGAACTTCTTTTGAAAGCAGATATTGACAACAAAGCTGACAAAGAGTATGTCATTGAAAAAGTTCAAGAAGAACATGACAGAGCAGATGCAACATATGCAACAAAAGAGGATGTTGAAAAGAAAGCTAAAAGAGTATGTTGACGATGAGTTAGCATATCTGGCTAGTGGTTAGTGAAGAAGGCAGATAAGGAATATGTGGATGAAAAAGACAATGAAATTAAAAAAGGGTTGAATGGTATAATGAACGGACATCGAAGATTTTAAAGGTAAAGCCAATACAGGTGGGTTTCAGGATGTTTAGACCTTAAAGCCGACAAAGAAACTGTAGATATGTTGGCACAAACGGTTTCAAGTCATACCAGAGGTTTAATGGAAGATGGACAACAGTTGAAAGAGCTTGAGAAAGGTGTTACAGAGTTAAGGAATACAAAAGCAGACTCGACATGGATAAAAGGATATGTAGATGCAACAAAAGAACGTATTTTCGCATGGACAGAAGGAACATACCCACAAAAATATCATAGACATAGCATCTCTGACGTAAATGAACTTGAAGAAAAGTTATATAAAAAAGCAGACAAAACAGAGCTTCAAACATTAAAGACAGAAATACTTCAAACAGTATATCCTATAGGTTCTATTTATACGTCAATGAACTCTACCAGACCAGAAGTAGTACTTGGTTTTGGAACTTGGACTCAAATAGTCGACAGGTTTTTGTATTGTGCAAACTCTTCAAAGGAAACAGGTGGAAGTAAAACGATTTCAGGTGAAAATTTACCTGCACACAGTCACTACATAAATTTAAGTACATCTGAAGCAGGTTGGCATAAGCATAGATTTGGGATTGGTCAGGAATGACAAAAGGTAAAGGATATGATGTTAAAGACGACGTTAAGTTTGCTATAAATTGTTACTGGAGTGACACTCAGGAGGAGGAAGCCATACACATCGCGTTTCAGGTATACGCAAACAACGGGAAAGTAAAGACTACATGCCACCTTACATGACAGTTTACGCATGGTATAGAAATGCTTAGTCGTCATTTTCAACTTCTTTAGCATATTCGTCAGGAGTTGTCTTATATTTGTTAGGAACTGTCTTTGAAAGTATACCACCTTGAACTTTGACAAGTTTGAAACGAGGTCTGACAATAGTAGTTTTATCTTCTGCTTGCAGTCTGTACATTTTGCCATGTTTGCCTAAAACTTCATAATATTCTCTTGTATACTTTCTTCTATTTTTACGAACACGAATGAGTACCTGTCGAGTTCCCA